GTGGCTGTCACAGACCTTAGGGATGACAAGACAAAAAAAAAAAAAAAACCAGCCTGTTTATATGGTCCTTTTTTTCCGTCTTCGTTTATGTTGCTCGTTTTTGCTGGAGAAAGAAAAACGAAAACAAAAAAAAGAAAGAAAGACTGCGACTGTCGTTGATCGATTGCAATGGTTGGTTAAGTTCTCAACCAGGGGCCAAGTCCCACCAGCAGCGTTGCGAATCTGGACATGTTTGTTGCCAATGTGCAGAAATCCAGTTGAGTTTCCTCAACAGCACATCTCCACAAACACGTCCAGATTCAGGCGTTGAAGAAACTCCACGCTGCTAGTGGGACTTGGCCCCCTGTACTGCTTTCATTTTTTTCTTTTTTTTTAATTCCATATTATGAAAAAGGGGGCCGGTGGGGCCGGTCAACCCACGAACAAGATGGGTACTGGGAGCCTTACCCAGTTTCGCTTTTTAGGGGACTCAGAGTCTCAGAGGACCCCGTTAAGCCCCGAAACCCAAAACCCTAAACCGGAAATTAATCCTTCCCCACTGGGGAAGCAATCAATGCCCTGTGATTCGACTATATTTGTGTTATGCAGGGAAGCTGTCTCCTGGGGCGAGGTCCCATCAGCAGTCGGATAGGAGTGTGGCCGATCCTGTGTGACACTGAGTGGCAGCGGCCAGACAAGTTCATTACGAATTTCTGGGCTGAGAAAACAGGAAAAAGGACAAAAAAAAAAGAAGAAACAGAGACCTCCCACCGGAAATCACAGCAGCGTGCTTCCCAGCCATCAGATCACAAATGATCTGATGGTGCTGGTTGCAAAAACAGTGAACAAGCAGTGATCCTGACACCCTCCATATACTCCGTGATTGAAGGAGGGCTCCACCCAATGAGATAATTGCACAACAGCAAGTAAAATGCTGAAAATCTTCTATCCAGTGGCCTAAGGCCGGCCCCAACCTCGTTTGGGGTTGGCCACACCCCCAACCGATTGAAAAGATGCTGGCGGGAAGCTGTCTTTGCACGGGCATGCCCAGTGTTAAGGAGAGGAGGAGGGGTGGTCGCTGCACTGGCTGTGCTATCGCTAGCGCCCCGGCCCCTGGCGGACCGGCGAGGCCCGGTTCCCCAGGCTCGACCAGCGCCTGAGGAGGTATGCTCCTTGAACGCTGGGCCTGTGCGCGCGCCCAGACACACACGTGGCTCCTTGATTGGCCACGTGGTGTCTGCTGTTGGTGACGTGGCTGTCCATGACGCGCGGACAGGGGTACCGCCAGCAGAGATTGAAGACGACGATAAACATGGCGGCGCAGCACTTCGGGAACGAGATGGAGGTGGATGGGGAGTTGCAATGTGGAGATAGTTTTTACTACACAGAGATCTACGATAATAATGATGACGTCGGGTATGGAGAGGACTATGGGCATGATGAGGTCGACGTGGCCAGCTACTTCGCAAACCTTTCCGCAGTCCACGTGGAGGGCGTGATTGGTGACGATGAGCAAGAAGAAGGAGACGTTGACAATAGCGAAACAGGCGCGCTGGAGGACGATGACGTCGTTGGCTACTTCGCGGCCTTCAATTCGGTGTGTGGGGAGCGCACACCAGAAAGGGATGATAAGCGCAGGGAGTGGGAGTATGGCGTTGGTGAAGTGAGAGGGTGGGACGTGGAGTGGGGGCAGAAGGCAACAGTGACACTACCGGTGACGACAACAGCACGCATGTTAATATCATCATCTACAACAACATCTCTTGATGTTGATGATGTCCCTCAGCCTCAGTGGGATGCTGAGGAGAGGGTTTATATTGCCCTCAATGAGGAGGAGGGGCTGACCACTATCACTGAGATGGGGATGATGGGAGGCAACAATGTCAGTAAGGGCGGGAAGGGTGTGCAGGTCGAGAAGGACATCAACAACATCGACAACAACGACGAAGACAACGACAACAACAGCAACAACAATGACAAGGGCGAGAAGGACATCAACAACATCGACAGCGACGACGAAGACAACGACAACAACAGCAACAACAATGACAACACGGACGTGGATGAGGGTGGAAAGGGTGGAAAGGGTGAAAAGGGTGAGGAGGGTGCGAAGGATGAAATTGACAACAACAACAACAACAACAACAACAACAACAACAACAACAACAACAACAACAACAACAACAACAATAACAACATCAACATTAATAACAGCACTAATGGCAACACCAATATCAACAATCCAGACGACGGCGATGGCAATAACCATGAGAGCAGCGGTGCTGAGAGGGGAGCTGATGCATCCAACTTCAGCATCATGGGGAAGATGCTGCCATCAGTGCAGTGGGAGGGAACCTGCTGCTTATTATGGATGGTGAATCGCGGCTTGAGGCTGAAGTTACGATTCACCGTTCCTCTCCACCCTTGCATGGCGTTTATCCACGATGAAGTGTCTCTTCATTTCTGGCACCGGGTGGGGATAGGATAGGCAATATATGCTTCGTACGATTACTACCGAGCGCCGATCGCCTTCCCAAAGGATGTAGATATGATGATACTTCATGGGCACGAGGTCAATCCTTCCCTGTCGCAGGGAAGTAATCAATGCCTCTGCTCTTTTTT